ATCTGAGACTGTCCTGAAGGAGGGTGCAATGGAGAATGCCAGGATGAATGATGCCATGGAGAAGGATGCACAGTGGCAGAGGAGGAGATGACAGTACAGGTCAGGAATATTAACAGATAAGGAGGGAGAGAAGAAGCAGAGCTGCTGAAACTGGCACTCAAAGAACAGTCAGCAAGATGGGATGGACTAGAAAAAAGGGAAAAATGGAAAAAGAGGGGGAAACAGAAGAGGAGGTAGTGATTTCTTGTGTTGGAGGGAAGACAGGATTCAAACAGAACATGAAGTATTTGCTTGAACTGCCCAGAAAAACAGCTGCCAGGAGGACAGTTTTGTTTGTGAGAGAGGAAGGAGGACTGTATTGTAGCTGGGAAGCATCAGGGGAAGCAAAAAGCCACCCCAGCAAAATGTCTGGAGGCATGATTAGAGGGATGGTGGTGGCCTGAGAGGGTTTTGTATTAAAATTAAAAATGACATGGTTCTAGTCAAACATGGAAGGAAGAAGAAAATTCAGCACGAGGAAAATAAAACTGAGAATAACAAGGAAACAACCTTTCTCTGTATCCTGTTTCTTGCATTTTTCCCCTTAAGTACCTGCTTGTAGAAAAACAGGAGAGGTCTGAACTTCAGTCTAATGTAATTTTCATTAATTTTAGCATTGAAAGTATCTCTGCTCAGAAACGTACCCAAGTCTCATTCAAGTGAAAAGGCCTTGGATACAGGCTAATGTAAAATACCTTGTATACAGCTAAGGTTCTTCCCGATCACACTCCTGGATCACCAACGTGGTCCCTGATTTAGCCCCAAAGCAGCAACAACACAAAAGATTCTGGGACAAATGCTGCCGATGCTATCTGTGGACTGACTTTGTTTCAGCAAGTGTATTTTTTTGTTTCTGAAAATGATCAACATTCGTGTAAAAGTTGAAAGTAGTGACTCTAGACGATTCTGAAACTGCAGTTCTCCTCCAGCTGGTAGAAGATTAGCAACCAATTCAACCTGACAGCAATGTCCTGTTGGCATCTGCGTGCGTTTATTTCTTGTTTTCAGCATGAAAGCTGACCACTGAAGGGAAGTTAGTCTATGCACATAGGAAATTTATTTAATCAGTTAATTTATGCAACATCATTGCATTATTTTATTTATATTGTTTTACATTCAAGAAAGAAAAAACCACTCCAGCGAAAGCTGACAAAAGACGACTACCTAGAGTGGACTCTCATCCGTTATTCTTCTACTGTATTTATTCAAATTAATCCGAATATTTATATCAAAAGAATTAGTGATAGCAAAATGGGCACAACTGATGAGAAAAAAATAAATTAAAGAACGCTTAATCCTTTCTTTTTCTTTAGCTGTACATTAATAAGTGCTGCAAGGCTGGTTAATGATCTCTGCCAATAATTGCACAAAGGCGATCTTGTCAGGGCAGCTCAGGAGGCCTGGAGCTCGTAGGCTGAAACCCCTATGGCGCATTAAACTCTGGAATTTTGTTGATGAAATTGGGGTAGCGAAGTTCCAGTTTTACAAGATCAGGAGGTGCTTCCTATAGAGGAAACTACTACCAGAGCCAACTAGCACCTCTGAAAAGAAAACAAATGGGAAAGTTCTGGATGAGCTCAAGGTCAGGTGCAGCTTAAAGCTCCAAAACCAAAATACAGACTAAAACTTCCTTTCCCTGCACCCCCACCCCCACCCCCCCCGACAACGTGGTGAAAAGTTCTGCTTTCATTCATCATTTCTTGACATAATGGCACAAAGTCCTAAAATTACATCACTGTATGAAGTGCAATAAAACTTCTTAAACCATCATTTGGAGGTTTAAAACAAAACCCAGAGCAGCTATGAGCTCGTTTTCTACATACAAGCCTATTGAGAGGGCACAGTCCACACCGAGAACTGAGAGAAGAAGAGGAGGACCAAAGATTTATGAACAACAGGATGTTACTAAACATCAGAATGACCCATCATTGTAGTCCTGTACAACAATACACAGTCACCAGTATATCAAAAACAGACATAAGAGTTGAAGAAAAAAGGTCTTTTAGTTGTAGAGGCCCGTTCATTATGCAATTAGGTACATAAGAGATGTTATAAGATGTATTACTAAATGCCCTGCAGTCTCATAAACCCAAAAGTAAGGTTATCTGTCAGTACCCTCCCTTTCCGCCTCAAGCAATACCTCATTTCAGGGAGAATTAGCCATATTTTATTCACTCACATGCGATGAACCTTGAAATGAGTCCCTCTCATTCCTTTCCTCATGTTCCCATCTCTGTCACTAATGCCTTCTTTATAAAGCTATGCTTTTCTAAGTATCTGGGCATATCTGTTCTCTCTTTTCTTCCTCCACCCATCATGTCACCATCTCTAACAAGTTTTTGCTCCCTCAGCAACTGTTACGTTCTCATTGCTTCCTGCTCTCCAGCTCCCCTTTCTGTGTTCTTTGGACACCTCTCCAAGAGTGTATCTGTCCTGGCATGTGCTTTCTTCCTCCCTTCACACCTCCATGCGCCCCTCAGGTCCTGTGTCTGCAAAACTCATTCCCAACATATACACTCCATGTGGCTTCCTTCCATTCTGCTGTTTAATCTGGAGGAAGAAACCTAATTCAAAGTATGGCATTGCCACTCCTTGAGCTTAATAAAACCTACCTTTCTGCATCCGCTACCGCTTTTTGGTCCAAAAGCCTTCCCTTCACATGTTCCTACAGCCCAACAATTGCTTTCTCTTTGTACAGAAATGATCTCTCTGACATTCCTTCTCTTGCCAAAGCTGTATCACCTGGTGAGTTTTCCATGTTCATCTATGATGTTTTTAAGTCATTATTCCATTGTCCTATTTCTTCAGCTTTTGCGGAGGATTTATTCCTCTCAGGACAAAACTTGCCACAAGTTGTTTGAGCATCTAACACCACTGCTGACCTCAATCTTTATAAAAATATTTATTTCTTTTAAAGAACATCTGGAGTAAGATTTTTAAAGGTTCCTCCCAACTGTGTAATTTAAATGTCTTTTCAGCAACAACCTTGTAAGTTAGTAAACTAACAGCTTTACAACGTTGTTACGTTTTTCTCATATAAGAGCAGTTTTAGAGATGCCACAGATGCATAAAAGTGGTTCCACCTTACCTTTGACATGGCTTCTCCCATCCTCCAACAGTGGTACTACTATAGTGTTGTTCATATTCCCAGGTGATCTCACAGCTGTATAGACAACAGGTACCGACTGTACCACCACGGGGATACGGTGCACGTGACTCATTTTGTTGGACTGCAAGTTCATGGGGCTTGAAGGTGGTACTGGATGAATAATGTGCAAAAACTGCTGGCCTCCAACACCAGATGCAGAGGCCACAAGAGGACCCGGCGTTAATACTGACGGTACAGATGCTGCTGAGGATACCGATGTTATTACTGTGGGTGATGAAGCTGGTCGACTAGAAGAAGAAGAAGTAGAAGTAGAGGAAGGGGAGGAGGCTGATGCTGTCATGGAAACTGGTGAAGATGAAGCTGCTGTAGGGGACGACCTGGCTTTGTTTATTGACAAGTCCACTGGTTCAGTCTGTGTTTGGAAATGGTCTGTAGATAATGAATCCTCCACGGGGTCTGCCTTCATGTTGTTTAGTAACAAGGGTACAGCTTCCATATCTGGGTAGTTGTGGACGTTTGGAGACTGCTGAGGAAGGATAAAGGGACATAGTTACAATATGTGGCCAAAGATGACTTGCACACCCAATTGCTAACACACATCACACAACTTGGTAACGAAAACCATAGGATTTGTTTCCTTTCCTTTTATGAGCTCATAATTTTAAAGGACAAATTCAAGCTAGAAAGCACAGATGTGTTCATGTTTTTTAATAGAACATTAAAAAAAAGGTCTACTCCCACTTCTTAGAAGGTGGCAGGATTAACTGTACAAAATCACCTTGTTTCTTTGCACTATGCAAGGTCATCAGTCACAAAAGTTTTACTATCTCCACAGGTAGCCACAATTTAAATTCACAGGACATTTCTTCCCAACATCTAACTTTAAGCTACAGCGTTACTCTTGTGTCATCTCCAATGGACATAAAGAAAAACTGGTCACCACCAGTTTTCAAACAACTTTCTGCATGCTTGAAGACTGTAATTTTCCCCTACTTGTCTACCTCCTTCTAGACTAGGCAGACCTTGCTGCTGCTGTCTGTCGTAAGTCACCTTTAAAAGAACAAGTCTTAGCACTCTTGCTTGCTCTTTGCAGCAATCTCTGCAGTTTTGTCCACAACGCTTTTCAGAAGGTGGTGCCTTACACTAAACACAGTCCTTCAGTTTAATGTTTGACTTTTTGCATTCTGCATGGTCACTGACAACGAACTCACAGGTCAATACAGAGGCCCATGTTTGTACAGTTGTCCTGTTACAGAGAGCAATGGCTACAGCGACGTGTTATTCTGAATTGGCACATCAGATAGCCTTTCCCATTGTTACAATTTTAACTTTTTTTTTTTATTTTTCCATACTAATTAAGAACAATTTTCCCGACTTCGCAAAATAATTTGATGCTTTAGGCCAACTCTTTCAAAGCTGGTTGGTCTCAATTTATTCTAGACTGGTGCCACCTGCTATTTTTATAGTTTTATTCCTTATTTCCATCATCAAAGAGGTGAATGGAATTTATGAATAATGCTGGGCCAGAGATAGATCCCTAGAGAAGCTCATTTGATATATCTTTCCTTTTTGACAGTACATCATCAGTAACTACTCTTTAAAAATGTTTTTTCAAGTAATTTTCAATAGGCAGAGCAAGGAAGGAAATGCCCATCGATAACCTGGTAGTAAGACAAAGAATAGCTCTCAGCACCTCAGCGAAGTACCTCCATGGCACTGTGCTGCAGCAGAGCTTCTCTACAGGCACGCACACACACCTTGTTATGTGCTGTAGTACAGAAAATCAACCTCGATAAAAAAACATCTCCCAAATTACTTCAAACCTCACTTAACCCAAAGCAATCATTCCATATACAGATCTAACAAGCATCCTTTTCATGTTACCTAAGCAGCTCTAAACACATTCTCTCGATCTCTAGATTATAGTATTTACTAACTATCTAAAAATATTAATTCACAAATATTTAAGTCACAAATGTTTGAGTTCGTCTACTCTGAATAAGCTAACAATCAAGCAAGCTATGAATTCACTTTGGGATTTTTACAATCAACTATGTTAAATATTTTCATGGAGAACCCTCCTGGTTTCAAGTTAGAGCCAAATTTCATCACAGAATGGAGTTGTACTGCAAAAGGAAAACAGAAACACTAATAATAAAAATTGTGATAATAATAGCCTAAGTAGATGTTATCCCTTGCATGCTGAAAGATGAAATGTTCTAGTAGATCCCATCTATTCAGCTGATTTGGACTGGCTCTTGCATCTGACACTTCCCTCCATTTGAAAGCAAGAGTGTCTCTGGAACAGTGAGTCTCTTCCTCTATTCATACACAAATCAACTTAAAACAAAGGGACTCCAATTCATCCGGCTCCTGGACCCTGCTGTTCTGCTGTAATACAAATAACAAAAGCAAAAAAATCCCTTTATAAAGACAATGGGAAGTTCTCCTGCTAAAAAAGAACACAGAAGCCACTTCTCAAAGCCCATAACCAGCTACCAGTTATGAAATTTCTTTTTCAAGAAGGCAAAATCACCTGTAATTGCCCAGTGATGATTCTGGGTAACTTCCCCTGAAACACTTTATCCAGGCTATTTTCAGGAATGAGATTCTGCATTAGGCATACTGTATGTGCCATGACAAAGACAAAGCCATAAACATACATGGCACAAGTAGTTAATTTGTCAAATCTTGGCAAGTCTTACATATGCAACAGGACAACAGACTGGTTCTGCTGAAATAACAGATCAGTGGTAGACTGAAGGCAAGGCGGAGGGGGACACCGTGCACAGGGTAAACCCAAATCTTTCTAAGGCCAAAGGCAACATCTTCTGTCTTAAATGTGTGAGAGAAGGGGGATAAATGGGATTAAATTAAGAACAAGGCAGATGAGGAATCCCCTTGTGCACACAGCTGGGCAAGGGGCATCTAGAAGCAGTATGAATCGCCAGCTCCATCCACAGGGCGGATAAACGTGCCACAGAGGAAGCCCTGCGTGTTGGCATACTTCCAGGCTTCCCCTGGGTGCCAGAGGCAGATTTCAGGTTGACTCAATGCTGCCTGCCTCAGCAGCACAGCTTGTTACTCTATCAGGTGAAAGATAGATTACTCATTGTTGTCCTCCGTTGGTCTTCAGGGGAAACATCCTGGCACCCTGAAGTGCTCTGAGGGCACAGAGGACTTGATGTACCCAGTATATACACATCAGACTGGCCACACTGCTCCCATGAGTCTTCTGACTTCTGGGACTCTTCCGACACAGGACACAAGGGATCCACATGGACCTTGAAAGCAGTCCATCACTAAACTAAGGGCAGTCTGCCCTGAAGTCCCACCTGCCCTTGCAGTGAGCACCATCAAGTCCCTTACAGGAATAGTAAGGAAGAACCTCAAACCCTTATGTATCTGATGCTGCACAAAGTACTTTTTTCATAGAGAGAGCCAATCGTCTTTGAGACAAAGCGCAGGTCATTTATCAACATAGACTTACAGATTTTTATAGGTGGTGCTAAGAACAGGCCTCTGTTTTACTATAGTAATTACAACTAGTCTTTTGGGAATAAAAAAAAAGAAAGAAAAAAGTATCATGTAAGTGCAGTCTATCATACAAATCACCTTTTCTTTTAACAGCTCTTCTGCATTTACTTTTGTGATGCACATTCCTAACATTTCATCTGCCTTTTGGTAGGTACCCTCTTCTTGTCCTGCGCTGCTGGATGGACCACACAGTCTCCATGTACTATGGTAACATAGTTGATATCATTATTTCAGTCTTCAGTAGGGAAACTAAACTCTAAACCTTTACAATCCCTTCGATGACCTCCTTTCCCTGCCAAAACTCTAAGACCAAGAGTGCCCTTTCTTTGGTAAATTCAGGCTGTGACTTATGACAGCCGACGTTACAAAAGACAGTAGGATCCTTATCAAAACAGGTTTGTGCATCTTGTACTTAAGATAAAAATTGTAAACAAGTGTTATATTTTGTTCTAGTCGTAGAGAACAAAGAGATTTACCCCAACTCACACTCTCCTACAGTGATCTATGAGTGGCACAGATGTTTCTCCCAGATCTCAGATTTTATCTGAGCTGCCAGAGCTCTATTTAAACTGCACTTCAATCAAAACTTTGAACACGAAATTAACATTTTTTTCAGAAATGGATGGTATAAGCAACCCCCTTCCTAATGACGATAACTATTCCAGAATTTGGAACTAGGTGACAAAGAGTAGGAACAAAGCCAAAATGGATGGCTGAATTCTCAGCACACTATTTCTTAGCATCTCCCCAGAACATTATTAACAGAGAATTAACTGTTCATTTCCCCAGACAATGACTGTTGCTGTTAGCTTTATTTAACAGAACCACATCTTTTCTAATTGAGAAGATCCCAACACTATGGCAGGGATATTCAGAGGTATACCTTCAGCCAGTCTGTCAGCTCATAAAGTCAATTGGACGAAAAACAAATGGCTGTGTGGTTTTTTCTTTTGTCTCTCTATTCCTGACTTTCCATTCTCATCTAGTGAACTGGGCTTCTTATGGTGGTGTGGGCTCAGCTGATTGCTAGTTTGGGTGTCTGAAACAGGTTTCTCCTGTCTGTCTCCAAAAACTATCTGCGTTTGTTTTGCAAACTTCACTTTGGTTTTAGGGGTCTAAACTCTGTTGAGAGTTTGGCAGCTTCCAGAGCGTTTGGTGGGTTAGAAAGGGTTCAGCCTGAGGTCCCTGTAACCCAGTGGTCTGCCTTGGATGCCAGCCCAGACCATGGGAACACAATATGAGGGGGTACAGCTCCACGCAGCTTCCCCTCATCTCACCGCTTCTGCCTGCTGCTACAAAGGAGAGGGACAGCTTCAGCCCTGCCTCCAGCTGGGACTTGGAGGCAAATCTCAAGGATGCCTCTCTCTGCAACACCGCCGTCACATCCTTATGCCTTTCACCATCCACTCAAATCCAGGCTGAATCAGAACTGGAAGGCAGGTGAGGATGGCTCTCCTGCTAGAAAAGGCTTTTTAATAAAGCTGCAGCCTCTCCTAGTCAGTGCTTTTTGCGCCTGCCCTTTAAAGCTGTACACCAGTATTCTCCGCAGCGCTTCGTTTCATTAGCTTGCCATTAATAAATGCCGCCAGGAACAAAACACGTGATGTCCCTATTCACAAAGCTTTCTTTGGCTGTGTAAAAAAGCATTCCTTGCTGCCCGTTTCCCTGACCGCTAAGGAAAAACAACCAGCCAGCCACACAACCGGCCACAACACCCTGAGTGAAGCCTGGTGAAATCGTGGCTGATAACGTGTTATCTCCTGGATGACCACCCTTTCATGCACAGTTCTACTTCATCTTCTCCCTGCTCCCTGAACTCCACCTCCTCTTCACAGAATCATAGAATGATTAACTTGCTTTGGGGTAAATTTTGCAACAGCCCCTTTCCACTCTCTTACTCTACTCATGGCAATCTTCTCAGTGCACCAACACTGTCTCCCATCCATAACCAAGTCATCCAGAGGCTCATAGTTTCCACACAGCTGA